CATCCAACAGGTTTGGTGGTAGTTCGTCATCCCATTCTATACCAGAGAGCCATAATCGTTGTATCATTATTTTTGCATTTACAATTGCTGGTGATATCCAACCCATTGGGTCAAATAAACTTGCAATGTCTGACACGACTCTTCTTTTTGTTACAGGTTTACTAATAGGTGGTAGCTGTACAGAATACTCGAAACAATCAGTACACCGGTTCCAGTTTAGTCCCAATATTCTTATTGTTTCATCTCTTTTCAATTCTAAATAATTTTCTGTTTCATTTTTTTCGCTCATTTCTTGAATTAGTTGTTCGTCATTGCTTGACCATTTCTGAAGTTTGAAACCTCCTCTACTAAGCATTGTGTTCAGTTCTTTAATTATCAATTTTCCTTCATCCGCTGTTTTACAACCCGTGAGAAGATCGTCGACATAAAACTCGTTTAATACTCTTTCAGCTGCTAATGGTAATTGCCGACCTTCATCATATGCCAACTGGTGAAGAGTTCTTATAGCTAAGTATGGGGCGGGAGCAGTTCCAAAAGTAACTCTGACCAAACGCAAGTGTTGTAACTCACCCGAAGCTTCAGATCGCCACAAGACACGTTGAAAGTCTGCGTCGGCATCCGACACCCGCACCTGTCTGTACATCTTTACTATGTCGGCTACCAAGCATATAGGATGACGTCGCCATCTCATTAGAAGATGTCTTAAGTCCGCTTGTATAGTGGGACCGACCATAAGATCGCTGTTAAGTGATGCACCATTACAATCGCGACTGGACGCGTTAAAAACTATTCTAAATTTAGTAGTTGTCTTATCAGTCCTGATCACCTCGTGATAAGGTAAATAAACCGCGTCTGGTTTATCAATCTCCTTTTGAGGAATAACTTGCATATGACCAAGCTTCAAATACTCTGATATAACTTCGGTGTACTGACGTTTTAATTCAGGGGCTCTTTTGAATCGATTCTCCAGCGAAGAAAACCGTCTTGTTGCGATTTCACGTGAATTTCCATACTTGCATCTTGGGTCAGCATCTTTGAAAGGTAATGTTGTGATATATCTACCATCAGAATCACGTTTGGTTGTTTCTTGATATATGTCTTCACATCTTTGCTCTTCAGGGGTAAATTGAGGTTTATTTAGGTTCAAGTTATCTGACTCCAGTTCCCAAAACTTCTTTAGATCAAATTCTTCGTTTTTTACATTTACATGCATGGTTATGATGGAACTATGAGTCTTTACGAAAGGGGTTGTATTATTGCCACTACTAACTTTTCCAGACAAAATCCAACCTAGTTTGGTGTTTTGTGCTATTGGTGTTCCTGGAGGCCCTGTTATTAAACCTTCAGCCAAAATTTGACAATAGATTTCAGCACCTAGTACCAAATCAATCTTGTTTGGTATGTTAAAATTTGGATCTGCTAACTCGACTTTCGGTAGATTAGGCCACATCTGCACTGTAACCTTTCTTTCAGGAAGAAACGTGGTTAACTTTTTAAGAACATGGGCCTTTATCGTAATGGTAAATTTCGGATTTCGAATAGATTTCAGTTTCACATTAACTATATGTTTTGAATTGAGTGAAGTGCTCTCCTCACCCCCTATTCCAGATATAACACAGCTGCTTTGAATTTTCCTAAGCCCAAGCAATTGAGCTGCAGACTCCGTAATAAACGAAGCCTGTGATCCCTGGTCCAATAAAGACCTTAGCGTTAAATACGATCCTGTGTTAATCTCCGCATTTACCAAAGCGGTTGCTAAAATAACCTGACAGTTACTACTCGAAAAACAACTAGTTGCACCCCCCATTTCGATCTCGTCTTGAAGTGTTGCTGCCGTTGCAACAACCTTGGTGTTATCAACTGACTGTTGTGTTGTTTCATTAGTATCAGTTGATTGGTTAATATTGACTGAGTGCAGCAGAGAATGATGTTTCTTTTTGCAAATTCTGCATCTTGTGGGTAAACGACACGCTGCTACTGAATGGTTTGCACCTAAACAGTTATAACATAGCCCGGAGGTTTGAACAAAATTACGGCGAGTTGATAGGTCTTTTTTAGCGAATTGTTTACAATTTCCTAGTTTATGGTTGGTTTCAGAGCAATAGATACAAACAAATTTTGTTTCAGCAGTATTATTAAAAACATGATGTGACTTGGTGACTTTTACAATGTTGGTACTTAAAAATTCGAGAGACCTAAATCTATGCTCTAAAAACTCTAAAAATTGGCTTAACTTTGGAAGTTCTTCTGTTAAGCTACAGTTTTTTGCTTCCCAGTGTTTACGAGATTCACTATCTAGCTTTTGACATAGAATGTATATGATAATTATGTCCCAGTTTTCTATATTTATTCCTAGATTTTTTAGAGCATTTAAACATTCGGTGGAAGTGTCAAGAAGTTCTTTTATACATTTTGAGGATTCATTAGTTATCATTTTTTGGTTGAAAAACCGTTTAAAGATGCAGTTTGTTATAAATTTTTTATTATTAAATCTATGTTCTAATGTATTCCAGCACGTGAGATAATTATCACTAGTAACAGGTAAATGGCGCAACAGCTGCTCAGCTTCTCCCGTAAGATAGCTCTTTAAGTAATGTAACTTCTGGACGTTGGTCAATGAGTTATTGTTGTGAATGAGGGACGAAAATAGATCGCGAAATGTTGTCCACTCAGAGTAATGACCTGAAAACGTCGGTATGGAAATTCTAGGCAGCTTGACGCTGGCTGTAACATTCTCCTTGTCAGACACTGCTGCAATTTTCTTTTCCATCGGCTTATCTTTTATTCTAAGCAAACACTCCTTTAATGCTATTTTGTAATCAGTGTACAAGTCTTCAGTTTCACCATAGGCACCCTTTACACTGTATTCAGACGCTTCAAACTCCTCCCTTTTGTGTTCCGTAATTAATTTTAGATGTGTCTGTTCAAACGTCAACCATTGTTTTTCCAGACATTCTAACCGTGTTTCCAAATAACTAAAAGTGAGTCTGTCCTTAGGAGATTTCTTAAAATTCAGGAAACCTCTTTCAATTTGCTTATATATATCTGCTTGAATTCTAGTTAAGGAATTCATTATCGAAAATATTTCCAAGATATTTTACTAAGATATAACTCCGCCAAATCAGTTGGTAATTTTCTAAGTGTTTGCCTTTCAAAATTGTTCTAAGTTCAACTAAACACAACGCTAAATTTTCTAAGTGTTTGGGAATTCAATTTGAGACTTAGTCAATTTCGGCATGGATTCCCCGTCTCAACCACAAATCACTTAAAATTTTTAGAAGTCCTAAACTCACTGATTTTTTTCTAAGTTAATATTAAGAGTACTCACAGTTTGAATGTCCTTTTACCACACTAAATTATTGCACTTGTCACACTTAGCTGCTAAACTTCGCCGTCAGATGTCACGTCACCTCAGTCGTTCTTCACTTTCAGTTGGCTCCGCTGCTTCAATCTCGTTCCGGTGTCACTGCTGTATCCGGCTCGTGAGGACCATGTATAAAAACACCAATTCTCCAAGACTAAGATAATTTATTCAAATCAAAAACTAAATATAACATCGACGCGGTAACGAAACCATACCGTGATTTAGGCAAAAGGTACAACGCCATCTATTGAGAGTACATGCAAAATTTGTAACAACATCTTGGCATTATACAATACCTCAAAACCATTAATGTTTTTGTGTATACTGCGAATATTTTGGGTAATAATTGTGAGTAAATTATCCGTAGTCGGCACATATTGTTTATATAAATTAAACAACGTTTCTCTGTGAGACTGATGGCGAGAGTGATTTCATTCCAGAACATTCATGTCATACAATCGTATAATAGTAACTACCTAGTAACATAATAGATGGCATTACTGGTATTTTGATATAACACAGATGCCTACAATATTCTACCCAAAAACTTTAAATTAAACAAAGCAATTATATTGCTTTTACATCCTGTATTCCCAATAACTGCAAAAAATAATAATGCTTGGTATTACCCAAACCTTTAGTGAACAGGTCTGCTGGCATTCCAGCTGTTTCCAAATATCTTAGTTCAATAATTTTATCAGCAATACAGTCTTTACAAAAATGGTAGCGAATATCAATATGTTTGGTTCTCTTATTAAAACTACTACCTGAAGACAGCCTAAGTGCACCCTGGTTATCATTAAATATGGTTATTGTATAGGACTCATTAATGATTTCCTTTGACAAATTATGCAAATAAATTGCTTCCCTGCAAGCATCTGCTATGCCCATATATTCAGATTCTGTGCTTGAGAGAGCAACTGTTTTCTGTTTCTTAACCTCCCATGACACAATACTACCAGCTAATTTGAAACACATACCTGTGTAAGACCGCCTTTCAACAATATTGTTCCCCCAATCTGCATCAACATACCCTTCTAATTTATCATTACCACATCTAGTATATTTTAACCCATAATATGTAGTCTTTTTTAAATATTTTAAAATTCTTTTTGCATAAGCCCAAGTTACATTATCATAACAATTGTTAAATTGACTAAGGAAACTTACTGAATGCTATATCAGGCCTGGTTAATACTGCCAAATACATGAGCCCACCTATTAGTATCTGATAAGGTATTTGACTATCACAATTTTTATTTTCTAAATTAATATTTAATTTAGACTCTAAAGGTGTATCAGCTAGCTTACAATTTTCCATGTTGAATCTATTCAGTAACTGATTAATATAATTTTCTTGGCTAAATGTAACAGTGCCACTAATTTTATCAATATTAACAGTCATTCCTAAACAATTTTTAACTTGTCCTAAATCTTTTAATTTAAACTTTGAAGCCAATATCTGTTTTAAATTATTACATTCAATATCATCATTTGTGAACACAAAGAAATCATCGACATACAATGTTATTATTTGAAACACATAAATATGCTTTCACATAGTTATATTGCATTGGTGCTGTTTGGATAACAGTTTTGAATTGGTATATCTTGAACTTGTAATTAATTTTCAAAAATGTCTGCCTTGGATGTCGACTACCTTACTAAAGATGAGCTAACATTTGAACTTAAAAGCAGAGGTGTGGAAATAAAAGATGACAGTACAGTTGATGAGTTCCGGAAAGCACTCAGATTAAATAAATCAATTTACAATCAGAGTTCAGCATTGGGATTTCTTGTGGATTTGGACTTACAGTTAGAATTATCAACGTGTGAGGATAAATTAAATTCAGTTTTGTCTGCTGTCCATTCATCAGCGTCATGCAAGCGTAAGTGTTTGTCGAGGTTACATCATGTAGCTTGGCGTTTGGATAAATTGTTGACATTTTCCCCGGAATTGTATACTAGGAAGTTGGAGTTGGTAATGAAGACTCAGAATGCACTGCAAACTATTTCATGCAATTCTGCATCAGATAGGACATCTAGCACTGCTCAGATTTCTGATACTGCACTGGTAAGAGATAGTTCTAGTAGGGGTAGCTCGCAAGTTTTTAAATGGAAAATATCTTTTAATGGTAAAACACCGCTGCATGACTTTCTTTTTACTTTGGAAGATTATTAGATTCAACTGGTATCTCGGACAGTGAGCTTTTAAGAAGTATTGTTCATTTGTTGGACGGTGAAGCATTGTTGTGGTATAGGAATATTTGTTCTGAAGTTTCATCATATGCGGGCTTGGTTGAATTATTGAAACAAGAGTTTCTACCTGTTAACTTTGAACGCTCTTTATTGAATCAGATTAAGTCAAGACTCCAAGGCAAGACTGAGAGCATAAACACCAAAAGAAAAGCATTTATCTAAGTTTTCACAAAACAAGCTTACAATTATACAGTACAGTTTACAATTATACAGTATACTATTATATAAAAGTATTCCTAATATGATATTCTGGGTTGTTATCAAACAGGACTACTACTCTAAACTGAAACAATTATTGTTATGAAATAATATAGATGTGAGACCATATCACACCAAAAGAAAGGCATTTATCTAAGTTTTCACAAAACAAGCTTACAATTATACAGTGCAGTTTACAATTATACAGTATACTATTATATGTTCACTGATACATATTATGTGAATTTCTAAAATTGTTCATTGACACAAAAACAAAGAAGCATTTGGAACTTAAAAAAAAAAACAGTCTGTATATTGGGCCCCACGTTGGGCGCCAATTGTAACAAAAAAACTTTAGTTGTCGGTAAAGTATATATGACTTAGGTGGAGTGCCTCGACTAGCTTGTGGGTTCTGGAGGCTCTCAACAGGCTGCTTAAGATACAAAAGGGCGCCACGTGCCTAATCTTTTAAGACCATGGCACGCTGGTCTAGAATAAGTGAACAATGAAAACTCTTTTAAATTGTTTTGAGGTTGGTATAATTCTCAAAGTTAGTTGTTATAAGAGTTCTTGAGCTTAAATCTACTTTGTATACCATAGTGTACTAAATTGCTAACACTCAACCAAATGTATGTAAGAGAACAAAAAAATCAAGTATGAATGGTCATAAAACTCATAACAATCTTACTGTACTAGAGCAACAGCTGCTTTCACATACTTAAATTTATAAAATCAAGGAGGTGATCTGAAGTGCTGACATCTGCCTCAAACGCTGAATATTATGCTGTTATTAGATTGACCATACCTATGTTATAACACTGCACCATTTTTACAGAACATAGACAGTCAAACTTGTTTATATAAAAAAAAAAAATTGGATCTAGTTTGATTTTGTGTTAAAAGAAAGCACGGAAAGGCTTCACCTGTGAAATTACTTCATGAGTGTAAATTACGAAGTTGACAATTGAAAAGCGCTCCTCAAAGGTGTTCATAAGTGGGCCTATTGGCACACCATTTTCCACTAGTTTCTGATGCAAGATTCTAGTCCCTCAATATATTGGGCCCTGCATAACGACCGGAGTCATTCTAAAAGCAAACAAAAAAAGAAAAACAATATTACCATTCAATTGTTGAAACCGAACCGCCCTCGCGTTCAACCTCAGATTGAGTATTAAAGTTCAATCACATACCCGGTTTATACAAGAAAACGAACAAAAGTGTCTTTCGACACAACATACAAAACACCCATCCACTTCTAGAGGCCTAACGGCATATCTGAAAAGAATTAACAAAAATTATGATTCGTCACAAATACTATGTACGCCATTTTGTCCAACCCGTTTTCCACAGGGTACGAGTTCAACTACAACTGTAAATACTCACCAGGATGTCTCCATTCAACAAACAATGGTGTAAAGAACCATTTCAGCAACAATTGTGTAAAGTAAACTTCAAAAGGTAAAAATAAAGACAAAAAAATATAAGAGGCAAGCGACCTGCTTCCAGCCGCCCTTTTCAGTGTTGCCCAGTCCTCTGTGGTGTTGCCATCCAGTCGCAAGGTCTCACTACTATCAAATTCTAATCTGTTTCTACCAAGAAAGTATGATGAAGCGGTTAATCAAAAATTAACACGCTACAATACCCCATTGCTTACAAAAAAAACAAAAAAAAAAAACCATTACCAAAGATTACTATTAAATTAAAAAAATCAACTACCTAATCTAATTATCTGGTTCTGACTTCACAATGTCCTTGATATGCCACCTACCTAAGGACTTCCCAGAATGAAAGTCTTGCAGCTCATAAGAGACAGGTGATATTTTCCTCTGGACAACGCACTTTTTAAATTTGGGAGCCAACTTCTTAGCAAAGAATTTGTCTGCATCAGACAAAGGATACTCCCTCTTCCAAACAACTTGACCAACTTCATACTCAACCTGAGTTCTGTTTTTATTATAGTAAGTTAAAAAAAAACAAAAAAAAAAACATTACCAAAACATTACTATTAAATTAAAAAAGTCAACTACCTAATCTAATTATCTGGTTCTGACTTCACAATGTCCTTGATATGCCACCTACCTAAGGACTTCCCAGAATGAAAGTCTTGCAGCTCATAAGAGACAGGTGATACTTTCCTCTGGACAACGCACTTTTTAAATTTGGGAGCCAACTTCTTAGCAAAGAATTTGTCTGCATCAGACAAAGGATACTCCCTCTTCCAAACAACTTGACCAACTTCATACTCAACCTGAGTTCTGTTTTTATTATAGTAAGTTCTGCTTCTATGGTAAGACTTCTTAATGGCAGCATTAAAATTTTCAAACAAAGGCTTCAAATGCAATAACATTGAGGCATACAGATCTCTATCCACAAACTGCAACTCCTCCACACTCAATTCCCTATCAGGATACCAATCCCCGGACAGAACAGCTTCACGACCAAACGTCAACAGAAATGGGCTATAGCCGGTGACCTCATGAACAGCAGTGTTCATGGCAAACTCAATCTTGTGAATGTTATCTGACCAATGTCTTTGGTCTGTGCCAACTAAAGAAGCCAAAGCAGTGACCACAACTCTGTTCACTCTCTCAGCAGGATTATTCTGGGGCAAAAATCTGCAATTATAGAATAGATTAGGAATTTTATATTTCGCCTTCAGCATCTTCATGTGATTGGAGATATACTGTGGTCCATTATCCATGATGATGCACTGTGGAATACCATGTCTCATAAGAAACTGATTCTCTATAATACTGACCACCGACTTTGCTAATGAACTTCTCATGGGAAACAATTGAGTGTACTTAGTAAAGTAATCTGAAACAACCAAAATAAACTTATAGCCTGAATAACTACGTGGCAACGGTCCTATAATGTCCGTTGACAGGACCTGGAATGGTCTTTGAACTTTCTTCGGATTTTCCATTAGACCTGGTGGAGGAACATTCCCGCTGATGAGGAAGGGGCACGCTTCCCGCATGCTTGCCGCATGAAGTAATTTCACAGGTGAAGCCTTTCCGTGCTTTCTTTTAACACAAAATCAAACTAGATCCAATTTTTTTTTTATAAACAAGTTTGACTGTCTATGTTCTGTAAAAATGGTGCAGTGTTATAACATAGGTATGGACAATCTAATAACAGCATAATATTCAGTTAGAGGAGATTCAATATTCAGGAGAGCATAAACACTTATATCAATGTGATGCAAAATTTATTTTCTAGACTTTCTAGTGGGGTCTCTGAGTCTGAACAGTTGGACATTATTATGACCAATATGAGTCCTTTCTTTATATCCAGACTGGCTTTGTCTGAGGTTTCCTCAATTAGGGAATTGAAAGATGTGTGTGCAAGATTGGAGCTTGCCAAGAATAAATGTGAGTTTAGGGGTTTTCTCAACCCAGGGGACACCTCCATCATACCGGACGTTTGCAAAGTTAATAATAGGCCTTCTGCCTCTGCAGGTAAGTCAGAAAGGGTAGTGAACATCATTAAGTGTTTTAAGTGTGAGGTGGATCACCCATATCATAAATGTCAAAAGTATGTTGGCATACATTGTTTCAGGTGTAAGAAGCCTGGTGTACTCACCTCAGGGTGTGATTGTTCAAAAAACGACATAGGAGGTCAGAAGTAGTCAGTTTTGCAGGTGGTTCTCCAACCTCTGACCTCGAATGGAGATCTTGGTTAGACTTTGTGAAGTTTTTTTTTGAGAAGCATGAGCTGTCACCTCTGTTTGCTCAAGGCTCTCAGGATCCTAGGCCATACATTGTAGTCAGCATTTTAGGTTTGCAGTGTAATGCTTTGGCTGATAGTGGTGCTTCTGTTTCAGTGATTAGTGCGAGAGCTGAAACAGCATGATTTGGATTTTGACCTGCTAAAAAGTGACAATTCTGTTGCAGTGGGAAACAATAATAAGTTGTGTCTTTTGGGGATTGTTTGTTTGCCCATTGCATATGCAGGCAAGGTTGAAATGATAGACTTCTATGTCTGTGAGGACATTAATGCACCCATTATTTTAGGTGTAGATTTTTTGAGGAAGTTTGATCTTTGTCAGGATATCTTTGCAGATGTTGGAAACATGGTGTGTCATGAGTCTATGAACCTTATCAAGGATAATGAGATACACTTGCATGAGGTAGGAGACCTAACGGAGGATCAGAGAGTGGAGTTGGAGTTGGTTGTGGATAGGTTCAGGGAGCTAGCTGCCACAGATAGCAAGTTGGGGTTCACCACTCTTGAAGAACATGTGATAGATACGGGAGATAGTTCCCCCATTAAACAGAAGTTCTATCCTATCCCTTTTCATCACCGGGATTATGTCAGGAGAGAGATAGAGAATATGGAGAGGTTGGGCATAGTAGAGAAGTCAAACTCTCCATGGAATAGTCCTATTCTTCTCGTACCCAAGGCAAATGGTGAGCTTAGACTGTGTTTGGATAGCCGCAAGTTAAACAGTGTCACCAAGATAGATTCTTACCCGATGCCTAGAGTGGAGGAGATCCTAGACTCGCTTAATAATGCGAAGTTTATAAGCTCTCTTGATCTTAAGTCTGCATTTTTTCAAATTGGATTAGAACAGTCCTCTCGTGAGAAGACTTGTTTCTCCGTTTCTGGTCTTGGATCATGGCAATTTTGCCGCATGCCTTTCGGATTGGTCAATGCAACTGCCAGAATGATGAGGTTGATGGATAAGGTGTTTGGTCCCGAGTTTTCTGGTAGTGTTTTCTATTATGTCGACGACGTGATTCTGATCTCCGACTCGTTCAGTAATCACATCAAGCTTCTGCATGAGGTCGTCGAGAAACTCAAGAATGCTGGTCTCACCATAAATTTTGAAAAGTCTGTTTTCTGTCGGGCGGCTTTGAAATTCTTAGGTTATGTGGTGGATAGACGTGGCTTGCGCACTGATAGTGATAAGGTTCGCTCCATTGTCGAGTTTCCCACTCCAACTACTCAGAAGGAAGTGAGACGGTTTTTGGGTATGGTGTCTTGGTACCGCCGCTTTATTAGTAATTTTTCAACGCGTGTGGCACCTCTTACTAAGTTAACTAGGAAGACTCCTAAAGGAAGTAATTTTTTGTTTGATGAAGAAGCTAGTAGAGCTTTCAAGGAAATTAAAAGTCTTTTGATAACTGCTCCTATTTTAAGCGTTCCTAAATTTGATAGGCCGTTCATTATTAGCACGGATGCCTCACATGTTGGCCTTGGTTGTATTCTTTCCCAGTTGGATGATGAAGGTGATGAACACCCAGTTGCTTTTGCTAGTAGGTCTCTTACTAGAAGTGAAAGGAACTATACTACCACTGAAAAAGAGTTATATGCTTTATTATTTGCTTTAGAAAAGTTCAGAGGGTATATTGATGGGTCACCCTTTCAAACTAAAGTTTATACTGATCATAGTAGTCTGAGGTGGTTGGTCAATCTAAAGTCTCCAACAGGAAGACTAGCTCGCTGGGCGATTAGGCTTTCTCAGTACAATTTTATAGTGGAGCATCGGAAGGCAGCAGAACAGGCTGCACCTGATGCGCTTTCAAGAGCTCCAGCGTCAGATGAGTTGTTCAAGTTTCAGGCTTCAGTTCTTGCTTTGGAAGGTGATTCTTGGTATTCTGGCATGTTCAAGAAAGTTTCCGCTGCACCTGGCAAATTCCCAGACTGGCGTGTTATAGAGGAGAGATTGTATAAGAGGGTTAGGAACTCCAATCCTTTGGCAGTCGATTGTGAGTGGAAATTAGTAGTTCCTGAGAGTCTCAGAAATGAGGTGTTGAAACAGTGTCATGATAGGCCTGAGGCAGCACACTTAGGAGTATTTAAGACCTTCAAACGACTGTCTCAGTCTTATTTTTGGCCCAAGATGATTAATGATGTGAAGAGGTATGTCAAACGTTGTCAAGTTTGTTTGGCACACAAAAGTGTGAATGTTCCTCCACCAGGTCTAATGGAAAATCCGAAGAAAGTTCAAAGACCATTCCAGGTCCTGTCAACGGACATTATAGGACCGTTGCCACGTAGTTATTCAGGCTATAAGTTTATTTTGGTTGTTTCAGATTACTTTACTAAGTACACTCAATTGTTTCCCATGAGAAGTTCATTAGCAAAGTCGGTGGTCAGTATTATAGAGAATCAGTTTCTTATGAGACATGGTATTCCACAGTGCATCATCATGGATAATGGACCACAGTATATCTCCAATCACATGAAGATGCTGAAGGCGAAATATAAAATTCCTAATCTATTCTATAATTGCAGATTTTTGCCCCAGAATAATCCTGCTGAGAGAGTGAACAGAGTTGTGGTCACTGCTTTGGCTTCTTTAGTTGGCACAGACCAAAGACATTGGTCAGATAACATTCACAAGATTGAGTTTGCCATGAACACTGCTGTTCATGAGGTCACCGGCTATAGCCCATTTCTGTTGACGTTTGGTCGTGAAGCTGTTCTGTCCGGGGATTGGTATCCTGATAGGGAATTGAGTGTGGAGGAGTTGCAGTTTGTGGATAGAGATCTGTATGCCTCAATGTTATTGCATTTGAAGCCTTTGTTTGAAAATTTTAATGCTGCCATTAAGAAGTCTTACCATAGAAGCAGAACTTACTATAATAAAAACAGAACTCAGGTTGAGTATGAAGTTGGTCAAGTTGTTTGGAAGAGGGAGTATCCTTTGTCTGATGCAGACAAATTCTTTGCTAAGAAGTTGGCTCCCAAATTTAAAAAGTGCGTTGTCCAGAGGAAAGTATCACCTGTCTCTTATGAGCTGCAAGACTTTCATTCTGGGAAGTCCTTAGGTAGGTGGCATATCAAGGACATTGTGAAGTCAGAACCAGATAATTAGATTAGGTAGTTGACTTTTTTAATTTAATAGTAATGTTTTGGTAATGTTTTTTTTTTTGTTTTTTTGTAAGCAATGGGGTATTGTAGCGTGTTAATTTTTGATTAACCGCTTCATCATACTTTCTTGGTAGAAACAGATTAGAATTTGATAGGAGTGAGACCTTGCGACTGGATGGCAACACCACAGAGGACTGGGCAACACTGAAAAGGGCGGCTGGAAGCCGGTCGCTTGCCTCTTATATTTTTATGTCTTTATTTTTACATTTTGAAGTTTACTTTACACAATTGTTGCTGAAATGGTTCTTTACACCATTGTTTGTTGAATGGAGACATCCTGGTGAGTATTTACAGTTGTAGTTGAACTCGTGCCCTGTGGAAAACGGGTTGGACAAAATGGCGTACATAGTATTTGTGACGAATCATAATTTTTGTTAATTCTTTTCAGATATGCCGTTAGGCCTCTAGGAGTGGATGTGTGTTTTGTATGTTGTGTCGAAAGACACTTTTATTCGTTTTCTTGTATAAACCGGGTATGTAATTGAACTTTAATACTCAATCTGAGGTTGAACGCGAGGGCGGTTCGGTTTCAACAATTGAATGGTGATATTGTTTTTCTTTTTTTTGTTTGCTTTTAGAATGACTCCGGTCGTCATGCAGGGCCCAATATATTGAGGGACTAGAATCTTGCATCAGAAACTAGTGGAAGATGGTGTGCCAATAGGCCCACTTATGAACACCTTTGAGGAGCGCTTTTCAATTGTCAACTTCGTAATTTACACTCATGAAGTAATTTCACAGGTGAAGCCTTTCCGTGCTTTCTTTTAACACAAAATCAAACTAGATCCAATTTTTTTTTATAAACAAGTTTGACTGTCTATGTTCTGTAAAAATGGTGCAGTGTTATAACATAGGTATGGACAATCTAATAACACTCTACCGACGATTAAAGTTTTTTTTGTTACAATTGGCGCCCAACGTGGGGCTCGAACCCACGACCCTGAGATTAAGAGTCTCATGCTCTACCGACTGAGCTAGCCGGGCCACAAAAAAAAACTTTAATCGTCGGTAGAGTGATGTGTGACTTAGGTGGAGTGCCTCGACTACCTTGTGGGTTCTGGAGGCTCTCAACAGGCTGCTTAAGATACAAAAGGGCGCCACGTGCCTAATCTTTTAAGACCATGGCACGCTGGTCTAGAATGAGTGAACAATGAAAACTCTTTTAAATTGTTTTGAGGTTGGTATAATTCTCAAAGTTAGTTGTTATAAGAGTTCCTGAGCTTCAATCTACTTTATATACCATAGTGTACTAAATTGCTAACATTCAACCAAGTGTATGTAAAAGAACAAAAAATCAAGTGAGAATGGTTATAAAACTCATAACAATCTTACTGCACTAAAGCAACAGCTGCTTTCACATACTTAAATTTATAAAGTCAAGGAGGTGATCTGAAGTGCTGACATCTGCCTCAAACGCTGAATATTATGCTGTTATTAGATTGTCCATACCTATGTTATAACACTGCACCATTTTTACAGAACATAGACAGTCAAACTTGTTTATAAAAAAAAATTGGATCTAGTTTGATTTTGTGTTAAAAGAAAGCACGGAAAGGCTTCACCTGTGAAATTACTTCATGAGTGTAAATTACGAAGTTGACAATTGAAAAGCGCTCGTCAAAGGTGTTCATAAGTGGGCCTATTGGCACACCATCTTCCACTAGTTTCTGATGCAAGATTCTAGTCCCTCAATATATTGGGCCCTGCATGACGACCGGAGTCATTCTAAAAGCAAACAAAAAAAAGAAAAACAATATCACCATTCAATTGTTGAAACCGAACCGCCCTCGCGTTCAACCTCAGATTGAGTATTAAAGTTCAATTACATACCCGGTTTATACAAGAAAACGAATAAAAGTGTCTTTCGACACAACATACAAAACACACATCCACTCCTAGAGGCCTAACGGCATATCTGAAAAGAATTAACAAAAATTATGATTCGTCACAAATACTATGTACGCCATTTTGTCCAACCCGTTTTCCACAGGGCACGAGTTCAACTACAACTGTAAATACTCACCAGGATGTCTCCATTCAACAAACAATGGTGTAAAGAACCATTTCAGCAACAATTGTGTAAAGTAAACTTCAAAATGTAAAAATAAAGACAAAAAAATATAAGAGGCAAGCGACCGGCTTCCAGCCGCCCTTTTCAGTGTTGCCCAGTCCTCTGTGGTGTTGCCATCCAGTCGCAAGGTCTCACTCCTATCAAATTCTAATCTGTTTCTACCAAGAAAGTATGATGAAGCGGTTAATCAAAAATTAACACGCTACATAGTAGGTTCTTCAATTTTTAGGCCTGACGAAACTAATTTCTCTGACTGCTTTAGTTTTTCGATATCCCCTCTAGTTGCAGCACTAATGAGAACGCCTCCATTCCTCACTTTTCTAAGGCCCCTTACGTGCAGTTTCAGTTCCTCCGGTGAAATGATTTTTTGGACTAGAGACTTCGTTTCTTCACTAGTTTTGGTCTTGTCACTAGGGTAGATAGCGAGGGTACTAACATTGTTTGGACGGACAAACTTATCTGCACCTTTTTTCACCATATCGGCAAAGGAGGTACGTTCCTGCGTACTCAACTTTTCTTCAACAGTGCTCTTAAATTGGCTGAGGGAGCTCGCTACATCCTGGTTTTCCTGTAAGTGCTGTATAGTGGTATGCGCAAGAATAGCTTTCTGCTTCAGAGATTGGTACAGTACGGCCATCTGAGACGTTCCAGATCCGATCTTACGGCAAATATTTGTGACACGCATCTTCTGATCCGTGTTCATTTTGCCCTCTGCCACTATAGAGCAGACCTCACCTAACAGGGCATCAATACTCGTCATCCATTTCTGGATCTCCGACGTCGGTATTACCTCGCTAGGTAAATCATTTTTCTCGGGCAAAGGCGGTTTTTCAGCAGTCGGCTGATATTGTTGTGTGGGCGTCGGTGGGGGACTCCTCCGTATTAACTGGCTACGGCCAAATGGGCTTGATCCTGGGTTAGACATTGAAATTGACACAGTTTCACGGTTTGAAAATTATTTTAGACCATGCTAAATACACAGTTTAGGAACAGACACAGTAGGCATTTATCACTCTCGCTCGTGACACACTTAGTGAAAAGTACTTACGCTACAAAATAATTACTTATTAGAAATTAATTATTATTTATATCTCGTACATTATGTCCAATACTAAAAACACATCTGCTTAGTCAAACGATCGATCGAGTTATTAATTGTAAGGCAATTAGCTTCCAATAGAGTGGGTTCCTCTACAATACATTCTAGGTTACTGTTTGTGTAGACTACAAGGCCGTCGTTTTGATTGTAGTTATCATTGGTTTTAAACGAGTTATATCCCTCAAGCACCGGTAAATTCACGACACAAGACAGCCAGCATTCTGACAGCACTATAATATCACAGGGGAAGTTCAATCGTTTAAGTAGAAGGTGTAACTCCTGAAAGTTGCAGTTCAGGCTACGGATATTTTGTTGTAGTATATTTAAATATTGCGTAGGATGTTGAAGATGTGAGATGCACTCTTCCGGTTCACAAGAAATAGGGACAGAAATATTAAATTCGTCAATATTTTGTATTAGATTATTTGTGGTGTCGAATGTTACGTATAATTTATTACTAGTAATAAGAGAGTACGCATAAAAATATTTGTTTTAATTTCGTAGTAAGGTAAGAGCCGCATTCGTTCTATGTGGACAGTAGAAAAGACGAGGTAGATTAAAATTAATTTACTCCATTGCATGTGATGGGAAGAAAGTATGTAGCGTAGGTATACAATTGTTATGAGATAAGGGAATATTGGAGGTTTTTGTTTAATGTTTATGTATTTTATGTATCCGTGCATTGATAGACTTTTTATATAATAAATATATTTTTTACCGGGTAATATAACATAGGTATGTGTTGTAGTCGCACCACGAGGCAACCCTGAGGGCCACGGCCAGGGTTGCCCAAGTCGTTGAGCGTATCCGGCGGCTGGGTCTCGAGGTGGCTCTGCACAAGTCCGAGGCCCTGTTCTTCCACGGGCTTCGGAGGAAGCCGCCTGAGGGATCTAGCCTCACGGTAGGAGGCACTCGCATCGGCATCGAGCCCTCGATCAGGTATCTGGGGCTCGTACTCGATGGCCGATGGGACTTCGGATATCATTTCCGAGGTCTGGTCCCCAAGTTGGTTGGGGCAGCGCGTGCGTTGGCGCGGCTGCTGCCCAACATGAAGGGACCCGATGACTCCTGATACTCGCAGACGCAGGAGACTCTACTCGGGGGTTGTGCGGTCCATGGCCCTTTACGGGTGCCCAGTATGGGCGGGGGCCCTGAAGGCCAGCAACGTCGCGATACTGCGACGACCGCAGCGAATGCTGGCCATCAGGATCATAAGGGGGTACCGCACGATCTCCTTTGAGGCGGCGAGTCTCCTGGCCGGAACTCCACCGTGGGACCTGGAGGCGAGAGCCCTTGCGGCTCTGTATCAGTGGCGCAAGGAGGCGCAGGAGTTGGGTCGATGCCCCGAGATTCGAGAAATCGATGACCGGAAATCCCAACTCCGCCAGGTCATCATAGGGGAGTGGAGGGAACGACTCGGGCAACCGAGCGCCGGGCACGCCGTCATTGCGGCGGTAAGACCCGTTATGGAGGATTGGCTCGAGAGGCGTCACGGGACCCTCTCATACCGATTGACGCAGGTGATCACTGGGAAGGGATGTTTCGGAGATCACCTGTGTCTGATCCGCAAGGAGCCAACGCCTGAGTGCCACCACTGCGATGGCCAGACCGTGGACACGGCTCTCCACACGCTGGCAGAGTGCCCGGCGTGGGTTGAGCAGAGGCGAGACCTCGTGGGGGCCATCGGAGTGGGAGTTCTCTCGCTCGATAGCCTGATTGCGGCTATCGTGCGGAGCGAGAGTGCGTGGAACTCTGCCGTCTCCTTCTGCGAGCA